CGGTAGCTCTCTCTGCGTTAGAAAGCGACTAGTCTTTCTCGTCCATTCCATCCCTTTCCCAACCTATTTTCGCATCTTTCACTCAATTACATCGACCCTCTATAACAAATAAATAGAAATGTCCTACGAGATTCACCCGCGTCTTGCTTGCTCTTTACGGCTTCTTCTTGCCCAGTTTCCAACCCTCGATACCACTTCTGAGCTTCCTCTTCCTTGTCCTGCCTTTCTTTATCTGACCCCAACCACTAAACCTAAACCGAAAGTGGTCTCCGACCAAGAAAGGGTCCGAAAGCACTAAACGAGGAGCTATGCCCGGGCCCCTCGATCTCATATATTCATAACTCGTTTTCTAGACCCCTTTAGGGTGATTCATCATTTGGAAAATTCAAGAGGCCAACAATGTAACTTTATTTAGTATTTAGACTATGAAATCGGGGTTTGTACTCCCATCGGCATCTCAGGTTTGATTCCTCAACCGGACATGTAATACCCGCACTTAGCTTTCCAGGTCTGACCCCAGGTATCACGAAACGGGCTTTCCCACCCCTAACGTCAAAGAGAAAAGGAAAGCGTTCGAGAACGTAGGCACTTCACCATCTCCCTAATAGTAGCGTCCCAAAAGTCATATATGAAAAGTTTCACACCGCTCGTGGGTAAATCATCGTCAGGAAGATTCTATAGGATAGGTAAGAAAACTCAATCTTGACTTTAGACATTGTCCTTTGCCTTATACGGCTTGAATCTCTGGGGAATCGGATCGCTTGATCCCATGCTTTTGACTCTGGACTTTCTCACCTCGCTTTGCGCTTTTGGAACTCTTTCTTCGCTTAGCTGCTTTGGCCGGCATACCTGATCCTGATCTTTGGAACTGAGGGAACTGAGCTCCTGAACTGGTAAACAAACAAAGAACTACTACTATTGGATTTGCCCCCTCGATATCAGATATCGGCGTTTGGAAGGGCTCGTGTATTCCTCAAGGTCAATTACATCGAACCTTCGTTGGAACTTTATATACACTATTTGACTATTTTAGTGACTTACGGGTATTTGACCACATTGACCAACCCTTTCAGGTAGAATCACTGGAAGATCCGAAGACGCTTGACTTCTCTCTCTTGTTTGAACCATGCAACCCCTCTTCAGTCCAAGACATGACATCGAAGAAACGAAGGCTTACTTTCCACCGACCAGAGGCATTAGCTGGGGAAATGACCAGCCAAAACGGGCTTGTACACGACCTAATTCTTACTAGCATCTTGGAACAGGAATACCAAAACTAGATTTACTAGAAATGGTTGGAGCTGAATCGGCTTTCCTGCCCTACCCCAATTTACAGGACCAGGAAGACTCATACCAACCCAAGAGTCAGACCCCACAACGCCGTTGTTCTGCTTTCCGAAAACAAAACTGGACTCGAAATCCCTTGACTTTTGATCCCTTCCTCCCCAGGCGAAGCGAACGAGCTCACCTGCTTCAAAAGATCTCTTCACCGGGCTTGGGCCTTTTCTCTCAACTACGTTTACCCTTGCTTTACTCTTTTATTATTTCTACGCAATTCAAGGAAAGCGTGCTTAACCAGGCCCTTGCTCCCATTCCTGTTTCACGTTGCTGCGGTCAGATTCTTGAAAGAAAAGTCCTAGGGATACGGTTTTTTTGGAACAATTCTGATGGGCACAGTTCTTGAATGAAGCCAATGGTATCATTTACAGGAATGGATTCTCGACCGTTACGCCGTGTTGCTGATAACGCTTTTACCATACATGTGGGTGTGTCGGGTCTGACTCTTCAGATTTGACCATCATAAGATTTCCACACGTCGGTCATTCACTTATTTGAATTTGAAGGATTTTTTTCTCTGACCACTTAAAGACTGAAAAAAGCCGGTGGTGGACCTTCGGCAAAGTCGGACCTATCAGCTGCCTTCATTCAATTCATCAGGATTTCATTCCAAGAGTTCTAGCTCCACCTCCCCGGCACTGGCTGAGCCAACAATTCTAGCTAAACCTCCCGGTCTAATAAAGAAAGGGTTGGGTACATCGTCAAAGAAGAGAGAACAAAGGCCCGCTTTCACAAGGTTCAACCCCCTTTACTGGAATAAAGTACTTGGGATTAGCAGCGCTGCTTCCTATTGTATTCTTTATTGTATTATTACAATGTCCCCAGTCAGGAAGTCTAAGTAGCTGGGAAGGGTTAGCGACTTAAAGAGCATTTTGAGTTCTTTTTCTTGGGAAACCCGTCCCTAATGAAAGAAGATTTATAGCTTCGCTTGCCTAAGATTTATACCACCCCCTTTCTGAAAGACAGGTTCTTTTCTGTACCAGCTCACTATGATTCATTCGTACACGAGCTCCTTCATCAACACAAGAGTAGGACACTCCGGGCTAAAAACTGACAACGACTACCAAGGATCTATGATCATTCCAAAGACAGTACCTGACATATTCCTAGAACGAAAAAGTCATATTCATTGTTCATTGGATTTTGACTTCTCACGTGCAAGCAGAGCGTTAGCAATCCTCTTCATAAAAAAGGGCATATACAGTGAATTTAGCCAGGTCAGCTCAGGTAAAGGCCCACGCGTCAAAATCAAGACGAGTTGCGCATTTGATGGATAGGGTCGGGGATCCTTTACTTTCAAAGTCTCTTCCTGTCTTCCTGCTTCCCCTAGGGATAATGGAAAAAGAAAAACTCAACCTGGAGTTATAATTAGGAGTTCCGAGTTAACGATGTAGGGAGTTAGAGCAGCTAAGGCCTCAGTGTAAAAAGAGAGTTCGAGCTAAACTAAAGAGTAGCGTCAGTCGTAAAGCCAAGTTCAAATCCCAAGGCCTTCCGGTCGGCTTAATCTCAAGCCCCTCCGAGTGAGGGAAGCAATAAAACGTATGGGCTGCTCGACTAAGCTTCGTTTTCTCAACTTTGTATGACAATTCTTGTCTCACTTTCTCTCTTCCTATTGAAATGAATATCGTTTACTAAGAGAATAGAGGAGCTTCGGTAGACTTAACTTCACACTTGACTTTATTATGGTTCGTCCGTTCCAGGTATTCCAAGAAGTATTTAGCTCTATCGATTAAGTAGTCCCTCCACTAAAGTATATAATGGTACTTTACCAGTTTAGCGAGATAGCTTATCCCCTGTCTACAGCTTTCACTGCTAAAGAAAGGGCTTTTTAGCATTTCCTAATTACCTATGATTTGTAACGACGAGTGTAAAAGAGCAAGATTCCTACCATCACGAAGGATTCGATAAAGGATGTCAGTATCGTCCTAAGCAGTTTCGATTAGGTCAATGTAACCTTTCCTTCACTGAACAAGCAAGGGATTGAGCAACTAGCGCGAAAGCCGTTGCGCGTTAGCGCATCTGTTTTCTTGCTGCTTCGCTTCTAAAGTACCTTTCGCGTCGAGCCAACTTTGTCACCTCACTTATGATCGAAGGAATCGGCTTGAAACAACCAATTGGACTCAGTAAGATGAGCCTACGCAGGGACAGAGCTGAGAAAAGGTAGAGTACGTGTGCGCTCGGTGGGCGAGTGGGTTCATTCTCCCTTTCTCGACTCCACTATTTGAATATGTAATGTTGAACCTTTTGGATCAATGTCCCCCCCAGAAAGAGGTAGTATGCCTGCAGACCACTCATGCTAATGCGCTCTTTCCCCTTCCCTTGAAAGTAAGGCACTCATAGTAATATGCTGTTGAATTAATGAATCCATGTCGTATATAAAGGAATAGAGCAACTACCCTATCTCCCTTTATAGCTTGGAGTTGCTCTTCGATCATCACTTCTTTTCTCTAGTTTCGATTGAATATTTCGTAAGAGATTCAAGGCTTGACAAAGGATGAGTGAACAACTGCAGTGGAGATTGATGATGTGTTCCGTAGACTGGTCTGTGACGGAGCACTCTAAGTGTGAGATCTATTTTCAATAAGAAAATACACTCACTTCTGTGTATCATAACCCGACCAGCTCTAAGTTTCCGGTTGTCAATGGTCATTTTGAAACTCCTAGTCTCATCTCTGAGTGGGAAACTTGGACTATACTTCCTAGAATCTAATTCTCTAATCAAAAGACTAAAGGCCCCTACTTATCTTTTCCATAGGACCAAGGGTTGCCCGAATTAATGGACTAGATTTCCTGTTTTTTTTTGGTAAACTCTATGTCAAAACTGGCCATTCCAATTTTGATTCTAAACGTGAATCATGTCTCAAGAGAAAGAAGGCGGAACTGAGCCAAAAGGATAAAGATTCAAAAGAGGCTTCTGACATACATTAAGGCAGATAAGAAGGTAGATAAGAGTTGAAAGGCAATCTAAACCTTCACCTCAACTTTGTCGACCCAACGAACAAAGCGAAGGGATCTCCAGAACCATCGAATTTAGCCATATCAGGCAATCGGGAGGCAAAGCGCCTAAAGACCTTGGATCATCCAAATCTTCGATCCCTTCGTCACCCTTCTTCTTTGAACTATTCCCTATCTACTAAAAAAAGCGTAGCTAGAGCAAGAAGACGAGTAGAAAGAATAATGGGAATGCCAACCAAAGCGAGAAAGATAGAGGTTGGATACCAAATCTTCCGTGAAGTCAAAGGAAGAAGCGGTACCAGGTTCAACCGAAGGCTTCCCAGTGAGCTCAATACCCGAAAAGCCAAGATTTCAAGTAGGCTTGAACTTTGTAATAAGAGGGAAGATGGCCAGTGAGTGTGTCAGAGAATTCATCATCCGCACTGAAAGAGCGCTTACATCAACGGCTCTACCACGAATCAGAAACCTCTTAGCAAACTCACATGGACCCAAAGAAAAAAAAAAAAAATGATCGACTTTCATGCTTTTTGTCCAATTCTGGGAACCGATTCACTTCCTCACAACCTAGCATTTTCTGCCCGTGGGTCAGGAAAGTCAGAAGGCTTTCATCCTTTTTCAACCTATCAGGAAGAGCTAACCAGACTAATGACCGTGAGTGCGCATCAAAAGAATTGGGCAACCTGGTCCATGAAATCTAGCTTTCGCCATTACAAGCCGGGATGAGACAATACAATCTGTGAAGAAATCATACGGCTATGCCAGGACGAGCAGTGCTGCTGCTCGGCAGTCACCCGCTGTGATTCTGCCTTCTTAATCATCCGTAGAGCTAAGAGCTAAAGGTCAATTACATCGAGCTGACTACTTCTGACTTCACTTCGCTTCGTTCGTTGGGGAGAAGGATTACTATAAAACTCTTGAAACTCCCTGCTGGCTATCAAACGAACTTTCCCTAGCTGCCCTAGTTCTTAACTTCTAAAGGAAAGGAGAACCGGTAATAAAGCATCCCCTATGGCCGATAGATGGGCAGAAAGCCTAGTTTAATACCCTCGAAGTGTTCGGGTTACCGAGTTAGACCATCAAACCACTGATCAGACGCTCAATCCCTCAAGGCTAGATGAAGCCGATTCCAAGCATCTCCCTAGGGTCGATGTAATTGACCTGAGGCAAGGTGCGTTCTGAAATAACTGACACAAGGATAGATCAAAAGTAGCATTATCCATAAGCAGCTGCTGGGAAGAGATTTATATGAGCACCGATTGAAACGAAAATAAATATCAACGATCGCCTCAAAACGAACCACCAAAAGAAAGGCCTGAATATGAGTTTTACTTGCGAAAGGCCTCGGCTACTGCAATGACAAATAGTATACCTAATTTGAAGCTTTTTACGAATGAGATGCCTCACTTAAACCTGGCTTTTCGATTGGTGAACTATCGTATAAGAGATGCCTATAGGCTGGCTCAATATTCAATTCAATCTATTCAGTTTCAAAGCTTGACTTGACTCTCTTTCTCCTCTTCTCTTCGTGTGCTACGTCCATTCCAGTTCTTTGTTCACAACACAACCAAGGATTTGCCCTCCCCGCGCACCTACCTTTCTCATGCCACAGAAAGATCACTCCTCATCCCAACTTTAGAAGCGATACCGCCAAAAGAAAAAAAAAAGTATGGCCTTATAGGCTTTTCACAGCTAAAGCTGTCTCGGGTGTCGGCCTGTGAGCCGAAGATCTCTGTCTCGTCAACCATTCTAATTCCTAACCTGGAGGTTGGCTTGAGAAAGCTCGCCCAAGAGAAGGGAAAGAGATAAAAGGCAGTCGTCCAATGGATTTGTCAGATGGGGCGCCGTGCGCCATTCAACATCAAACTCATGATTCATGTACTGCAATTCTATGTTCATAATAATCTTTCGCCCTGAAAGCCTTCCAAGGAAGGAAGGGCTTGGCTGTCCACTTAGCACGAGCTAGTAAAAAGGGGTCCTAATGACTGAAATTCACTACAGAAAAGGAAGGGGCATACTGACCTCCTTGCTTTTGTAGCTTTCTCAATTGTTGATTCGGATTCGGTTTTTCTTCCTCTGGGGTGAACTGCTCTCCCGGAGCTAATTTGAAATCTCGATTCGTTATGATCTTTGCGCGTAAGGGCTTCATTCGTATTCAAGAAATGATCATCTCAGATTGAATCAGCCGAAAGGCAAGGGAGTGGACTATACTCTCTAGTTAGGAATAGGGCTCAAGATCTTACTTCTCTTCCCCCTTCTGACTTCACTGAACAAGCAACGGCTTTCGCGCTAGTTGCTCAATCCCTTGCTTGTTCAGTGAAGGAAAGGTGTAATTGACCAGCGGTGAAGCATAACCAGTCAAAACCTAACGAACGAGTTGCCCTAACCCACCATGGGTAACGGGGGCAGCGACGTCAGAGGCGGCGATAGGCCGTTTAATCACCACCTTGCTTTTAGCCCCCTTACTGGTGGAGGGGCTAAAAATGCATAACCAATCCTTAATCAATAGTTAACTGAGCTTTAAAAAAAAGCAGTAAGAAGAGAAGACATATCGATACCAAAAGCTGAGCCCTTATTGATTGCGTCAAAGGCCCGTATGCTTATCTTGAGCCCTTTTGAGCTAAACAACGCCTACCCTTCTGGCTTTCTATCGATATGGGCCAGTAGATTCCAGGTGTAAATCAAACTCAGAACCTAATTACCTTTGACTAGCGAGCAGCGCTTTTGGGGCCATAACTACAGGGAAAACCGTGGAGAGGTAAACCTTAACTTACCGAAGCTCAATGAGGTACCAATCCAGTATACCACCCACAAACCAAACGACGGGGAGGACTTCTCCTATCAACCCTTCCCTGGGGTCCACCCATCTAGTCGATCCGACAGGGAAGGGCGATGAGAGGAAGAGAATCCGCTTTCATCTCCATATCCGAACAAATTTGACTGAACTGCGCTTCGTTCTATCACTTTGCTTCGTTTGTTGAGTCTCACTTTGCTCTCCTGCCATAGTGCGTTAAGCTTCGCCAGAAGCAAGCTTCATGAGGGTGCTCTGCTTCGTAGACAAGGCTCGTTCCGTACTTGGACTTACAAGCTCGTGTAGTACTCGCCCCTATCTCTTTCAAAGATCAGAATACGAAGGAGATCAAAAAGGCAATCATTAATGCGAACAAGGCAATTGCCTCGGTAAGAGCAAAGCCCAAAATGGCATAACCAAATAATTGTTTAGCCAATGATGGATTGCGGGCAACTGAATGGATCAAAGAACTGAAGACGTTTCCAATACCGACAGCAGCTCAAAAAATTAGAAGGGTCCTCACACTACAAAAAAAATCTCATTTTCGGGACCAAAAATTTTGTTAATAGTGGCCAGCCCCTTTTTTTGGATAGATAGCAAAAGAGCCTTCAAAAAGGAGATATAGTGACGGTCCCGTTCTTCCACGGGCATCCCTTGCCCGGGGGCTCTTTCACCCAAGGGAATTTCCGCCTCTTTTTTGTCCAGCTCTTCCCGCCGTTGATCCAAGAAGTCGTCAAACGCTTCTTGTGGGTGGTACGGGGCCTGGTCCGCCAAGGCCGGGTGGCGGAGAAGCACCTGTTGAAAACAGGACAAGCAGTCCTGTTTTAGTTCCCGGATCTGGAGATCTCTATTCTCGAATTCCAGTAACCGGGTATATTCCTTTTGAGACGAACAATTTTCGAGTTCATTCTGGATGTCCTTCCAGTAAGAGCCCCTATCCTTATCCAATAAAAAGAGGCTCCCACCTTGCTTTGCTCGAGCCGTGCAATGTGATTCCGCATTGAGGCTTCGAGACTTTTATTTAAAACCAAAGAGCTTTTTTGGTGGGATGGGCCAGCTTCATTTTCCACCACCACGACTTGGTTTTGCCCCGGAAATGCGGTTTCTGCTGCCTCCGAATGGCCTCCCAGGGGCCTCGTTTGAGGCAAGACAGTCACACCTTCTGAAGCTGAAGCAGTATAGTCCTCACCCGGTGAGCAATGCGCCGTGGTAAGAAAAGAAGAAGAAGAAGAAAGCGCGCTGCGAACCATAAAAAAAGTAAAAATGCGAGCGGCCCAACGGGGCGATAATAAAGCGCGAACCAAGATCCGTGATACGAAAACAAAAATCAGAATTAGGAAAAAAAGAATGCCGGGGGACAAGCCGGAAATCCATTCGGATCCCTCTATGAGGATTCTCCAAAAGCAGCGTATGAAAACACGTTCCAATAAAGTGGACAACTTAGTCATCATAGAGTAACTATATTTGGAAGATCTGCTCCCAATCCCGAAAAAGAGAATGGGAGACTTTGGTTTGTGGCGTGGGAGTTTTTTTTTTCCCAACGAAAAGCCTTCTTTTGAGAACGTGAACATGAGCGGTAGACTGAACACCCACACAATCTCGATTTGACAGAGAGATACTGTCATCGCCATCTCTTTGGACATGCATGTGTTAAGCAAATGGACTGAACTGAATTCAGAGTGATTCTGTCGCATTTTCGATCTTAGGCGAACGATGGCGGGTCTACGACCTCGCAAGGCACTACTGTAGAGCTCATTGGGCCTGCCGCTTTCTCAATCAAAAATTGAAAGAAGGACGGAGTCTATCACCTACGTCATTTCTCAAGCAAAAATTGAAGCATTAAGTCATCGTTCCGTCATACAACATCCTTATAAGTGATTTCACTTCTTTGTTCAATCAACTTCCATACACATCTCATCAAAGATGAAAGGAACATCATGGCTCAAAATACGAGTGAGTGGTCTTGCAATCTAGGAAAAATCCTTTATGAAGCGACGATAGAAACCCGCATAACCCAAGAAGCTACGGACTTCCTTCACATTCAGTGGAGGAGGCAAGCGATCAATCACCTCAACTTTGGTCAATTACATCGAGCCTCAATTCCTCGCGAGGAAACCAAATGACCGAGGACCCAGCAATCAAACTACTGCGCGTTAGCGCAACGACTTTCGCGCGTCTTGCTCAATACCTTGCTTGTTTGGGGTCAGTTTCCGTGGGTCTAATCGGGTTTCGTAGTCTAGATGGGAAGTTAGAGTCCTGCGGGTCTTCCTATTGGTCCAGGGATCGGATTGTTCAATATGGTAAAGCATTGGCTCTCTTAGGTTTCGTAGTCCTCGCGTTCGTAAATATGGGTTGCTGAGTAGAAGGCTGGGGCTGGCAAGCGTGGGGATTCCCCCTTGTCTTCCATGTCCGGTTTTGGAATGAAAGCAAATGTTGTTCTTTAGCGATCAAGGAACAGAGCGAAGCGGTTAAAGCTGGATTGATTTCAGAGAAGTGTTCAAAGGAATTCATTTTAGCTAGTATTTCTCATGGTATTCGGTAAGAAACCTTAGTCTATTTCCGTAGTCAATAGCGGGTCCTGTAGCTTCAAAGCAAGGAATATCAATACGCGCGAGGTATTCTTTACCCGTTGGTCTGTACAATGGTTGTCTTTGTCATATCGAAGCAAAGAAGCTCACCAAAGAAAGTATGAGTTCCAAAAGCAGTTCCTTTGATCTGATCCAGTGACGACCCTAACGCACTAATAAAATGAGTTAAAAATACAGAACACAGTTCCAATCTTGGTGATCAAAAGATCGTTTCGTCCCATAACTGCAGAGACCTAATGATCCCATGGCATGGTCCTTTTATCCGACCGGCAGACTCCCTGAGCACCCCAACTCAATTACATCGACCCTTGATCTTTTAGAGTAGACGAACCCCCAGCTACTGCTACTATAGTAGCCCTTATTCCCATATACCCCAGTTATTAGTAGTTGTTTAGGCGGCACGCACAAAGCAAAGATAAAGTAGGCGCGCTAGGAGCCCTTTTTTCATCCTTTAGGGACATCTCAAGTCATATCTGTCAGCAGCGAGGGCTTCAAGGGGTAGGGGTATAAGTCGTAGAGAGGAACAACCAAAGCGTCCTCACCCCCGTTTCCCACTTGTGAAGCTACCCCACTTATACCTCTCCACTGCTCCTCTTATATTCCGAAAGCGAGGGATCCTGAAATCTAAGAGTTTGACGATTGATGACTCAGAATTGGTCTCTACGCTGTTTGTTCTGTTGCACCTTTCTTTCTCAGACGGATCTGCCAGGTTGAGGAACAATAACTGGAGCGAGGTTTACGAGTTGAAATACGGAATTCCCAGTCCTGGGTGACGATGCGAGCTGGCAAGAAAGTCGGTAAAGTGCGTGGTAGCACGTTCGGATTCCGGAAAGCTTGGGATCATCTTGTCTTCCTTCCTCGGGAAAGGGAATTAGGAACTCAGTTTGCGAATTCGAATTGAAAGAAAGACCTAAGTAAGGGGATCCCGTTTGTACCTTGACCAAAGGCAGAAGCAAAGGAATCTCCACTCCCAAAGGCTGAGCGAAGAACCCCTAACTCCCATCTATACTACGCAATACTTTTCACTTCCTTCCCGACCGGACGTGTTAGAAAACTTTGCCAGCCTTCGTTCTTCCGAAACGAGGGGAATTACCTAGAGCTTGGAACGATCCCAACCAAAGAACCCAGACGAAGGAGACTTTCCAACTCCCAAAACTGAATACAGGTAATACCCGATCCCTTGACCCAAACCTCTTCACTTGCGGGCATCCGGAACAGGAATACCAAACTACGAAAGGAAGGTCCTCCGAATCCGAAAATTCCACAACCCAAAGAAGAAAGGAAGAAAGGGAATCCCCACTCCTGGTATCCCAAGACGTAAGAGATTCCAAACTAAGACAAGTAGGACCTGGCGTATGAATGATCGTGAGGAATCTTGTATAGGATAGGTAAAACCCTCAATCTTGACTTTCTTTCCTTTGCCGCTCTTACTCTCTTACTGAAGCTCTTACTGACTCAACTACGGGAAACCGCTCAGCTTTCTTTGTAATCGGCTCGCTCGCGGGTAATCGTACCTTTTCTTTAAAGGATTAGTACTTCACCACTTGACCGGTCATTGAAGACGTAAAAGAAAGAAATCCCTCATCACACAAATCCACCTTTTCAGAACTAAGAGGAGTGAATCTGATAGAACATCAACAGCTAAGAGTTTCCGAGTGAATGAAAGAAATCACTAACTCATAAACCAATCTCTTTCAAGAAAGGGAAAAGAATTCATAATTATAATTAATGGCGCGAAAGAAAGCACATCTCATAAGGCTTTCTTTTCCTTCTACTTAGTAAACCAGCTTTGAGCTTTTCTTTGATTCCACAAGGGGATAATCCCCGCGCCAGGATCGCTTTCCTCTGGTTTTGGTTTTCTCACCCGAATGGGATAAGCGGGTGTTTAGTCCAAGAAAGACATAGGTGGAAGACAAAAGTGGCTGGAAGGACTCCCTTGCTATCTTCTGACCCCTTCGTATGAGCTAAGAAAACTCTAGTTTGGCAGGCCTCTAAGCTCTATCTAAGTGATTCATCGTAACTCGCTTATAAACATAGGTGCCTTCCTTGTACATTTATTTATTTTATGCCATTAATATCATCTCTGGGTCTGAAGACTCTCCTAGCGATCGAGGATTACCACACCTATTAACATATTTAGATGTTCCCAACGTGATCCCTTGCCACCGATGCTAGTCGGATTGGACTTGCCCCTGAAGCTTCAGTTGAGTTGAATACTGAGTGAGCTCCAGACCTTGAAACTTTGACTACTAAAGTTAAATGGGCTCTCTTACGATATTAATTCGAGGAGAAACACCTTTAGAGCAGGACCGATGGGAATACCCCTGACCTCTTGAATAGCCGAGGTACGAGCCCTTTCCGACTCCAGCTATTCTAGTTTCGGACCAGCAAGAAAACGAATGCGCTAACGCGCAACGGCTTTCGCGCTAGTTGCTCAATCCCTTGCTTGTTCCTCAGAGAATGGGGAAGGACATAAAGTGATACCGAACTTATGGCTTATTACGTAACCAAGTACGTTACTTTCCAACATTGAAAAGATCTTTCCCAGCTGCATTGCCTTCTCCTTCTCGAAGAACGAGGAATTCAACTACCAAGATAGGAGACTAGAGAACCGATCTTCCATTACCATATTAAATAGGAGATTTCTGAACCCTCGCTTGAGACTACCGAAGCAGATGGGTAAGACCAACTCAAAATCAAAAGGGTGCTAGAAAAACACCAACTCCAAACCTGGCGATACCGATTTCACAACTCTTGAGGTCAGATCGTAAGATCCTATCCAATCCAATAGAATTGCAGCTCGCTCGCCTTCTCGAATACCTCAGACTCTGTAACCGCTCTTGCTTTACTTACCATATTGATATATATGTTCCGAACTCGAGAGCCAGACCAAGGTAAATTACATCAAGCCTGCCTGCTTCTAAGTATCGGACCCGGGTACCTCCCTTTCCCCCATTGGGTATTCCATTTGCGCGATCCCTTGCTTGTTCTGATCCCATTACTCGTAATCCCAGTTTTTGTTCTCGATAAAGCCCAATCCAATACTTCAGGTAAATCTAGACTCTGGTTTCTACCGATGACTTCTAATGGGACTTCCCAACCCCCATCCGTACAGAACCACGGTCATACAGGATCCGATTCCATCCCTTTCTCACCCCACTTCATCACTTCATCTCCCTTTCCCAAGGATATTCTATTCTCACTCCATTGTAGATACATATTTGTTTTCGCGGGCACCAATGGTATAAATGTTGTTTTCGATTTCCTTGCTTGGATTGATCGTGAGGAAGATTCTCTAGGAGTAAGAAAACTCAACCTTGACTTTTTAATTATCCTTTTAGGTCATCCTCTGACGTAATCAAAAATCCTATTACTTAAGCAAGTACGAGTACCGGCTTTCAATCTCAGGTTTCTTTGGGTCCTCGATCCCTTTCTAAAAGGTTTTGAACTCTTTCACGCAGCGACTGACACTTCCAAACAAAAGTAAATACCCGCTCCCTTGCCTTCTTGCTGATCCCCCTTGACGACATTTCTATTTCTATTCGATTTCCCCTTTCCCTTGAGCCATACCATCCACATCGACTTACCTGCCTGATCGAATCGAAGGCATTCATAATAGAACTCATTAATGGGCAAGTGAACGAGAAAGCCCCCAACCAAAC